TGAAATTCTCCAAACATCAGCTAGCTTTTAGCGTATCGATTTTCCTGTCGCTTTTCCTCAAGTAGGTACTAATTTCAGTCGACAATTTTTCCTGAACCGATGCCAACTCTGTGCGGTTTTATGAAAAAAGTCTGCTACTTTGAGCCCTTAAACTGGCAGCTCAGTGCTTGAAATAAAGAATAATGTTGGTGAGAGAGTAATTTTCGCTTCCCAGGCTGTTGATGCGTGGAGGCGCTGCCCCCATTCACAAGCTGAGCAAAAATGCCGTTTAGCCGGCGATTTTTCAATAAGCCAGCGCTCTATTGTGTCTCTTTGAGCGTTTGATAAAAATTGAGGCGTAAAGCGCCCGACCAAAATGTAAGCGTTTTTGGCATTGTGTTTGTGATTGAATTGAGATTTTGATCCGACATGATTGTATATTATTTATATAAAACCCGTATACTGGTTGGCTTAAAAACATATTGATTCGCTCGATTAAATTAGGTTGTTTCTGTTCCACAGAGTGCCTTGATAAAGTAATCATCAGATCTTCAGCCGTCAACCGAAAACGAATTAATCACAAAAGATAAACGATTTAGGAACCCTCTGTTTATAGTCTGTTGTACATGGCTAAACACTCCAAGTAGGCTTGCGTGCCTTTATAAACTCTGAGTAGATGAAGAGGCGAAAGATAGAGAAAATCTGCTTTAATTCCTCTTTCGCGTTTACTCCAAGACGATTTCAAGTGTTTAAAACGGCCTGAGTGTACGAGGAAAGTGTTTTAACCACACTTGAGGAATGAAAATGAGGAAAAGCTCTGAAGTTTGGTGAAGGTAAAGGTTGGCGCCTCTAACACATTAGCCGGGAGTTTTGTGCAGTCATTTAGGGCAATTATCTTAAGGAAATAAGTAAGGAACACGCCCTGGATTGGCTGGAAAAGGTGTGGTGCAAAGTCAACGCACTGTCTAGTCTCGAAACTGAAATTAAATGAACCAACATTGCATGGTATCAATAAAAGCTATTTTTATGCGGATGAGTCGTCATCGTGTGCGGAATTTCAGTGTCATTACAGCACTTAGCGCGTAATTGACGTCATGTAAATTAAGTGAAGAAACCACAATTAATTCCGCAAAAATTCGGTCGATTTAGTTTGTGTATATATGCTAAATATGGTCTATCAAGCGATTGAAGATTCGCAGAAAATAACGCCGTTTTTGGGCGTAAAGACTATAAGCTGCGTTCCCGATTCCTCCTTATATTCTGTTGAACTGTGTCACATTAGTTGAGGACCACCCTGTAAAGCGGGTTCAGAAGTAAAAGCAACAATTAGTCAAAAACAAATTTATTTTTTTGAATATCAAAACCAAAAAAAAACCGGCAACAACTCAAAAAGGATTAAATTGACGAATGATTAATGAAAACTGTTTGCTATTTGCAGACGCCAGTCACTTATGATCGGGACGCAAAATTCCATAAAAGTCTCCTTATGCACTCGATTGACTCAATCAGTTTTTCATTTTTTCTCAAACCCGATTGAAATGAATTCGGAAAAAAATCAGTATCAAGTTCTATGCGTAGTCGTGCCCATTACGAATTTATGCCGCAAGCTATAGTAATGGGAATAATCGAATTGTTTTTTTAATAGGGAGAATATAAAAATTATAATATAATACTAAAATAAAAAATTTCGTTTCTAATTATTGAAATAATAACTCCAATTATTTATTTGCTTTGGCATGAGTAAATTCCTTTTTGTTATTTCTTTGCCACATTCTCGTCACTCAGCTTCCGTGAAAAAATCTGTTGTGCCGAATAATGAATTCGAGGTATTTTTAAAAGCTAACTGAATTAATTCGATTTTCTTTCGATTTTAATGCAGAATGTTGAAAGCGCACTGGACCGAATGCCAAGTTGGAATATATAATCGCGAGCAAATACAGATTGCCTTTTAATCTAGAAATGCAGTCGGAAAGAGCTTTTCCATCATGCTCGCTAGATATCGGAAAAACACCAGTTTTGCCCTGATTTATCAACAATATTTCAAAGTGGCAATCAGCAAGATTGAAAAGCTGCTGCGCGAATTTAAGAAAAATTAATCATCGCCAGACTGTGATCAATAAAAATACCAAAAGTAAGCTACTTTCTGTATGTAAAAGATATTCAGGTCCCCACTTAGCAGCTCTCTAGCTTCTTCTAGCAACAGTTTTCTTAAAGCCCTGGCGTGTGGACGATTTTTATCGGAATACTTGAAGAGCTCAGTTTATAACCCAAAATCGTAAAATGGTGAGGAGTTGGAAGAAGGAACACAAGAGTAATGTAGGCTATTTTCCACAGAAATATTTAAATTTCCAAAGCGAGTTTCAGTTGCGTTTAGCAAATTGCTTGTTGGTTAATCGACATTTTGAGCTCATTGGTAAAACATTATCTACAGGGTGTCTTGTACATTTGTTTCGAAATTTTCATCGTCAAATTGTAAAGATATTAAACGCGCTAAAATGCAAAAAATCTTTGCAAAGAAATCAACTTTTTCTAACGGAACATCTAACATTGTATTTTATTTTTTAATTCTTATGTAAATGTCAATGACTTTGTGCTATGCAAAATATGAAACGTAGATAGTTTTTGAGTTATTCGACTTTAACTATGAAAATTCGTATTTTCATCGTGTTGACAAAGTGAACATTTCTCCGTATCAGACCCGGAAAAAATTCAGAATCTTGTACGATTTGAGGAACATTTTCAGGATTGTTAGCTTCAACTGTCTTCTATGGGATGAGAGAATTTCGAGTTGCTAACGGATCTGCATTGAAAGTTGAGACTTTTAAACAAGAGCGTGCAGTTTAGTGTGACTGAAAATGTTTGCCCATGATTTTCAGAGTTGGCCAACAATGGATTTTTTCAGATTTCAGCGATATTTTCAGGATTCTTAGCCTGAAATGTTTTCTATAATGTGAGCAAACTTCTAGTTGCTATCAGCTCTGGATTGAAAATTGAGATTTTTTAAAGAAGAGCGTGCTTCCAAGGAGGCGATTGATTGTGCATTTTAATTTTCGGTCCGTTATGGCAAAAATTGAGATTTTGTTTTACATATTTGAATGACATTTTTAGTATTTTTGGCTTCAGCTGACTTCTATAGGGTGACGGAAATTCAAGTTGTTAACGGCTTTGTTCTTAAAGCCGTGTCGTGCCCGAAGGGCTCGGGCACAACAAATACATTAAAAGCTAATAGTTTTTCGGGCACGACCCTAGTTGAAGAACAAACAGTTTGGAAGGTTTTTTGCATTAAAATCAATTAAAGTAAGTGAGGTTTTTTATTTTTTGTTTATTTTTATGACCGCTATGAAACCTATTCCCTGCTAATATCAAAATTTTGTGTCTAAAGACAACGTCGAAGTTTTCGATTTATCAACACC